TAATAATAGCATTGCATAAAAGCCACGCGTAACAAACTTCGCAACTCATCACAATGCAGTCGCAGCCAGTAGATGAAGGGGCGTGTTGATAAGTACAACACAACGACAGCTCCCTTTATGCACGACTCGCACGACGAGACGAACGGAAGTTCCACTCGATTTTCCAACCTGTACTATCGCACGGACGCGCGCCCCGATCGGATTGTACCTACCTTTTTGTATAAGCCTTTTTTATTATCCGTATATACTGCTCCAAAATGCACGAGCTCGCGCCATCCATCACTGTCCCATCGATAATGTTTCCTAACGAGCGAGCGCCCCGGGTTTTGGCTGCATCACGACACGTACTCGGCAAAGTTTTCTTATGCTCTTGCAATATGCCGGGGCCGCGTTACGGCATGGAGGATCGAAAAAACGGAAGATGCAAGAACTTTCTGAATTTATGGTGGAGAAGCCACTGGAATCGAAGTAGGTCGCGGTTACGGAGAACCATGGCATGTGAGAAAGGAGAAATAGAACCGCTCTACTCGCGCTCTACTCGGCGTGTCGTGACAATTATATGTCGATAATTTCCGTCGTGCGTTACGTCGTGCTGCTACGTGTTTTACGTTTTAGCAGCACTCGGTACTCGTTGGCAATTTAACAATCGGCCATACTTCAAGTTTCAAGAGGGAACGCGGAGGGAATTGCGTTAGGAGCGCGTTTCCTTTCTTCCAAAACGATTTCTCTTATTATCCCCGCGTCGGTGTTTTCGCGATATCCAACGATCGAAGAAGTCACGCACCGCCGGCTATATTCCGGCACAATTCCTGCGAACGTTCGTGTCGTCGCTTCCGTACCGTTTCCCCCACGGAGCCCGAAACTTTTTCACACGAAGCTTACATTCGAGCGCTCGAAGAGGCGCTGGATTTTTAACGAGATATTTGAAAAGCATTAACATTAACGAGTACAACGCGTACAACGCGCGACTACATTCTACAAAATGTAATGCTGCGTTTGTTCGACGGGAAATTGCGTCAACTCAAAATCCCCGAATATATATATACAGATAATCGAATAAAGAGACATTAAAAGACACTCTACCTTCTTTCGCCTGAACGTATCCGTGCACTTCGCAGTAACTTCCAGCCGGGCCAGCCGCACCAGGAGTGTCCAACGTGAACAGAGTGTTGGCGGAAGAGCTGACACCGTCGTCGGACATTGTCTGTAACAGGCTGGTAGCCTGCGACAAGGTGCGTTGCTGCTGGTGATGCTGGTGATGATGATGATGGTGCTGCTGTTGCTGCTGCTGCAGCTGCATTTGCTGTTGCTGCTGCTGCTGCTGAGCGAGCATCTCCTCGTGGCGACATTTCGAGCAACGACGCATCTCGGAGCGGACACGCAGCAGCCAAACCATGCCGAAGAGCGCCATAGCAACCTCGAGACCCGCTGACCTCGATGGGTGCTTCATGCTCGCGGGGTTAAGGTCATCGAGGCTCTGGGAGCCAGCGCGACACATATCACCGACTTCGGTGCGGATTTGTCTTACCCCTCTTTCCTTCTTTCACACCTGCACCTTCTTCTTCCCTCCCCGGCCTCTCCCTTTTCAACCCGCACGTCTGTTTTTAGAAGATCACTATTGTAATTAAGCGAGCATGCGTGCGCGATGCGTGCCGATAATCTTTAAATCGCGTCGTGAATCGAGTTACTCTTCTTTGATGATTACAGAAATCATTAGGCTCTCTCATTGGCAGTGAATTGTTCAAGCAATTTCAATTACCTTTTTAATTTCATAGTCGGTTGGACTAATAATTATCGCTTGTCGGACTTGGCCGTTTCTTCGAAGGGGATCCGCATCCGATGTTTGTAGAATTCTCTTTGGTGAGAACCTCAAGATTCCGTCGCCGTAACGAAATAATACGGAATACGTTTGTTTCGTAAAATAGTCGGGACGATCAAACCGAGGAATGACCGTCGCTCACATCTCACTGGCTTTACTTTCCGGCTATTCTCGACCGGTAGGAATTAAAATTTCTATTCTGCGAATTTCTCTCACTGAAGGTAGAGAGAGCGTGGCGCTTCACATTTTTCGTGAGCGATAATCGGGCGATAAGCACGTTTCGTAATTACGGATCTCAAAGGATGTTCAACAAGACGCGCAGGACTAGAAATTATGGGAATCTTCCTCCTGCCTGTCGTTTCCTAGACACAAAGCTCTCTGACTTACGGATGACCAAGAAATGAGCGGATGATTAACAAGGCACCGTCCTCCTCGAGAATTGTTCGATAAGTGTCCAAGCGACACATTCGATATCAATGTTTATATAGATATAAAACAGCGCTCTTGTACAATTAAGAATTAGAATTTTTAATTTTTTACATGTAGGGAATATCCCTTATTTTATTCTACGATTCTTCTTTGAAATTTAAGTAAAAATTCAAAGTTGCGGTATAATAAATCAAACATCGAATATAAACGGAGTAAAAAGAGTTTTTTCGTCCAATTTTATTGCAAATTAAGATGCCTAATAGTGCAGACGATTTTTATTCGTTTTTCTCATTCTTTGGATAGGCGTTCACAATTAGACAGAAATTATCCAATCGGAAGGAAAATAGTCGACAATTTTCTAATTTACAATCCGCTTTTCTTCCCAGACGGAGGAAATTCTTCGAGCTCGGGACCTGTGTGCAAATACCAGAGCGAAACAGCTAAGGCACCGGTTCTTCCGAGTATCAACGGCGAGGAGGATGAAGATGATCGATACAGCCTTAATACGGGAAGGAAGCTAAGCGATTGGTCCCGGCCGCGCTCCGACGACGATGATACCTTTATAAAAGTACAAAAGACGTTCTCGAGTGGTCGAGGACGTGGATCCTCCCATATTTCCCAGGAACTATCCAGCGATGATCGCGATTCTCCTTTCCAGGCCAGATAGCTACGTCTCACTCCTCCGATTTTCAACGACCGAGTTCTGTCCCCAGATGTCGTCTCCGGCGACTTCTGCCGTCCTCGTTCCTTCTTCCGTTAGACTCCTCGTGGTCCATCGAGCTACGTGATGCTGACGTTTCTCCCCTTTCTCTTGATAGTGCCGCACTGGAAATGCGATTCCGTCCCATCGGGACGTGTATTTCCGATCGCACACTTGTCTCACCCCTCACGCATGAGTGAATTTCGCTCGGCGTTTCATCCCCGATTCACGAGAAAGCGGGACAGAAGGGCGGGAATCGAAGGGCGTTCGATATCAGCGCGGGTGAACAACTTACCCTCTTCTTCGCATCCCGTTCGCTTTCGCTTGTGATTAGCTAATGGTGATTTTCCAACGTGCGGTTCTTCTTCATTTAAAATTTCGCTCGAAAAAAAAAAAAAAAAAAAAAAAACTTGTACTATATTTGACAATAATGGTGAAATCGGACACACTTGAGCACTTGTGGATTCTGCTTGCCCGCGGTCGTGGGACTCAACTGAAATAGAACTCGCACACGGAGTGAAGTGACTGCTTGGATTCACAAGCAGCGGCTCGTTATCAATTCCTATCGAGTCCAAGGCTGACTGAATGGGCTCACTCCTGTCAATCTGTCGATGTACGTTCGCGGAAGCTCCAACGGCCCATTACTTCGATGACCCCGCTTTGACGATGAAAGGCAGGTATTAATTTCGCCGTTTGCTCGATCTTACTTTACGATTAGCTCGCGCAGCTCGAGCATCTTGGAATTTCCTTTCAAAATACGTTTCCATCGAATTCCATCTTTCTTTATTTCTGTAGCTTACTTGGAATCCTCTCGAACAAAATCGATTAGTGTCTGTAACGTTCGCTTCACGCTTTTCCAAATAACGACGCTTTTTGCCACTGAATGCCACGTTGCGATCGATTCTTTTCGATAAAAAAATCCTTTGAATTAAAATCTGCGGGCAGACTTTCTCTCTTTCTCGGAGAAGCGAATGTACGCATGAGCGGACGAGACGTTATTCCGGGGATGCAGTCCGGATTGATATCCGGCGATAACGCGGTTTTCCAGATGTGAAAAGAAGTTTTGCGGGTGAAAACCATTGGTGAGGAAGGTTCGATAAGTGACCGGTTTCTTTTTCTTCGGGTCGTCGATTCGGCCTCGATACTCTCTCTGCCCTCTTTCTCTTTCTCTCTCTCTCTC